GTGATGCCATCCAGCCATCTCATCCTCTGTTGCCCCCTTCTCCTCCTGCCCCTAATCCCTCCCAGCATCAGGGTCTTTTCCAATGAGTCAGCCCTTCGCATCAGGTAGCCAAAGTACTGGAGTTTCAGCTTCAGCATCAGTCCGTCCAATGAACACCCAGGACTGATCTCCTTTAGGATGGACTGGTTGGATCTCCCTACAGTCCAAGGGACTCTCAAGAGTCTTCTCCAACACCACAGTTCAAAAGCATCAATTTTCCGGCGCTCAGCTTTCTTCACAGTCCAACTCTCACTTCCATACGACTATTGGAAAAATCATAGTCTTGATCTTTGTTGGCCAAGTAATGTCTCTGCTTTTTAATATGCTGTCTAGGTTGGTCATAACTTTCCTTCCAAGGAGTAAGCGTCTTTTAATTTCATGGCTGCATTCACCATCCCCAGTGATTTTGGAGCCCCCCAAAATAAAGTCAGCCACTGTTTCCACTGTCTCCCCATCTATTTGCCATGAAGTGATGGGACCAGATGCCATGATCTTAGTTTTCTGAATGTTAAGCTTTAAGCCAACTTTTTCACTCTCCTCTTTCACTTTCATCAAGAGGCTTTTTAGTTCCTCTTCACTTTCTGCCATAAGGGTGGTGTCATCTGCATATGTGAGGTTATTGATATTTCTCCTGGCAATCTTGATTCCAGCTTGTGCTTCCTCCAGCCCAGCGTTTCTCATGATGTACTCTGCATATAAGTTGAATAAGCACAGTGACAATATACAGCCTTAATGTACTCCTTTTGCTATTTAGAACCAGTCTGTTGTTCCATGTCCAGTTCTAACCATTGCTTCCTGACCTGCATACAGGTTTCTCAAGAGGCAGGTCAGGTGGTCTGGTATTCCCATCTCTTTCAGAATTTTCCACAGTTTATTGTGATCCACACAGTCGAAGGCTTTGGCGTAGTCAATAAAGCAGAAATAGATGTTTTTCTGGAACTCTCTTGCTTTCTCGATGTTCCAGCAGATATTGGCAATCTGATCTCTGGTCCCTCTGCCTTTTCTAAAACCAGCTTGAACATCTGGAAGTTCTCGGTTTTAGGTAATACTACATACTGAACTAACGAATGAGGAACATTTCTAGGTCTGTAATCCCTGAATTGTCCACAAGATGGCAATCTGCACAGGTGGCTGCTAGACAAACCTTGCACGTTGGCTGAAGCCCTGGGAGATGTTGAAGGGAAGACAGCCTGGAAGGACTTTCCTAAAGGACTCACCTCTGATTGCTCAGCGGGTATGTGCCGTGCGCTCCCCTCCACCTGTAAAGTGTCCATCTCAGCCAGCCACGCAGGCCTGAGCCACAGCGTTTCCAGGCTTCTCACCGGGCTGGGCAAGGCTGGTGCCCCGGCCGTCACTGCCCTCCCAGCCTCCTGCCTCAGCAGCCGCACCCCTCCTCCACCCCACTCAGCTCTGCGAGCTGCGTGAGCTCTCTTCTGCTCCCGGCTCTGCCTTGCTCTCTCTGATCCTCACGCCTTCAGACACACCAGGCCTCCTCTTCACTGTCCTACCAGGCAGCACCTGCTGGTTCTTCAAGACTCAGATGGGCGCTGGTGAGGGTGTGGACACAAGGAAACCCTTATGCACCGTTGGTGAGAGAGTGACTTGGTACAGCCACTGTGGAAAACAACATGGAGTTTTCTCAAAAAACTAAAACTAGAACTACACTAGGACCCAGCAATTCCACTCCTGGGAATATATCAAAACCCCCAAAGCACTAATTCAAAAAGATACAGCCACCCCAATATTCACAGAAGCACTGTTTACTGTTGCCAAGGCAAGGAAGCAACTTGTGTCCATCAACAGATAAATGGATAAGGAAGGATAAGGAAGAAGTAGTATAAAGATGTGTGTGTGTGGATAGTGTACAGTATACAGAAGTGTATGTATGTATATACATAGGCTTCCCAGGTGGCGCTAGCGGTAAAGAACCTGCCTGCCAATGCAGGAGATGTAAGAGCCTCAGGTTGCATCCCTGGGTTGGGAAGATTCCCTGGAGGAGGGCATGGCAATCCATTCCAGTATTCCGGCCTGGAGAATCCCATGGACAGAGGAGTATCTGGCAAGTCCATAGGGTTGCATAGAGTCGGACATAACTGAAATGATTTGGCACACATGCACACATATACATACATGTGTGTGTGTGATAGAATATTATGCAGCCATTAAAAGGACAAAGTTCTGCCATTTGAAACGACATGGATGAACTTGGAGAGCATTGTGCTAAGTGAGATAAGTCAGGCATAGAAAGACAGATACCGTATGATATCACTTATATGTGGAATCTGAAAATTACAACAAATTAGTGGATATAACAAAAAAGAAGCAGACAGATAAAGAAAACAAACCAGTGGTTACAGTGGGGAGAAGGAAGGGAGCAGGGGCAATACAGAGGGGGAGACAGAGATACAAACTATTAGGTATAAAATAAGCTCCAAAGATACATTGCACAGCACAGTGAATATGGCCAACATTTTGTAATAATTATAAACGGAGTGTGACCTTTAAAAATTGTGTATATATTTTAAAAAGACCCAGTTCACAAAGCACCTTTTCCAGAAAGCCTCCTTGATTCCTTTCCCCCCAAGTTTGTTTCTATAGCAGCATTTATCATACTGAAATTGCTTCCTCTTCGCCTGCCTTCTTAAGCACTGGCTTGCTCATCTATCCCCCAGCCCCTCCGAGTCCTGCATAGGCCTGGAGGGCAGGGCTAGGTCCTCTGAGAGCTTGCTGAATGAACAATGAAGCAATGAATCTATGAATTAGGGATGTGCTGTAGCGAGATGAATAGAGAAACTCCTTCCCAACATAGGATTCATTTATGAGAAAAATCTTATTTTTCTGTTGACCCTGGTTCAGGAAGGGACCAAGTGCTCCTTAGCACAATAAAGGCACATTATTACTTTGAAAGGAGCAGGGCCAAATCCTTGTTAAAAGAAGCCAACACTTGCCTCATGTGAGACTAGGCTGTGTCATCGTCTAAAAACGAATTTTTTTTTAGTCTCCCTTTGGCAAGGTGACTTCTCTTTCAATTATTTATAAGGAAACCGAGGGAGCTGGTTTACTCTCTTCGCAGAAAAGGAAAGTTCCAGGGGCTTCCTACCTCGAACAACAGCACTTATTCTGTGTTCACAGAACTGATGCAGGGGTTCTTCTGCCAGTTGCCAAGTGCATCTAGTTGTTCAGGACCTGGAGAAGTAACCACAGGTGGGTTCACTGTGATTGGAACATGGGCCCTGAGTGCCACAAGCCCCTACTTGGACTGGGCAACAGTGGACCACTCTAGTAAGTGATCACAGGTTCCTCTGGAAGGGCTTAGAGGAAGATTTATAGAATTTCTACAGAATCCTTCAAGAGGGCATGGCCTCCTCTTCCAACTAGCGGCTCCACATCTAGATGAAATCTGAATCTGGATAAGAGACCATGGCTTTCTTCTACAGTGATTCAAACTGGCTTTTGAACACAAGATCCACAGTTTTTCCTATTGTAATAGAGTGAGTCGCCTTTTAGTAGGATTCCTAGAGACAATGAGGGTTAGGGGGTGAAGGCATGAAAAGCCACTAATAAAGCCTGGTCAGCAAGTCCTTCCTTCCATCCAGTGTCCTCATGCGGCCACACGACGAACTCCAGCAATAAAGACTCTCTTGGGTCTCTTGTTTGGCACCCCTGCCAGGACTGGGCCATGGATATGGTGCAGAATTCTGACCCTGAGCAAGTGCAGGGCCACAGGAATAACAGAATAGCTGACGGAAAGAACCTGTTCCACTGCATCTTTCCAACACGCATACCCCCACTAAGCCTCAGATACACTGACACGTGCTCCAGGACATCAAAGCATTATTTATAGTAACAAAAGTACTGAAAACAACTGGTTAAATAACTTCAGTTTTCTGCATTTAACACTCTGCAAAGTTGAGAAGCCCAAGGACAATCCAAAATGTATCACCATCTGATCACAACCAGAGTCACTGTTGACTGTGAGATGCACCATGCCTTTATGTAGCCTGCGTGCTCAATCATGTCCGACTCTTTGGGACCCCATGGACTGTAGCCCACCAGGCTCCTCTGTCCACAGAATTTTCCACGCAAGAATACTGGAAGGGGTTGTGCTTTCCTCCCCCAGGGGATCTGCCGCACCCAGGGATTGAACCTCTGTCTCGCATCTCCTGTATCGGCAGGTGGATTCTTTACCACTGTGCCACCTGCGAAGCCTTTATGCAGCATCAAGGCGGTAAATGAGCCAATAAAACTCCACTCCACTGGTTGTACCAGAGGTTGATTTCAGAGATGGTAAGAGGCAGGGTAACTACGGGAAATAACTGTGGGTAGAAAAACCAAGCACAAAGCAATGTGTAGGGTATTCGTGTGTGTCTGGGCATGTATTTAAAGGGAGCGGCTATGCAATCATACGTACTTTTATAAAGATCAAAATTCCTGGAAAGAGACTCAAGAACCTGGTAACAGGTATGGCCTCTTGACACCAGGTTGGAGCATTGGGATATCAGGCGAAAGGGAGGTCCTCTTTTCATAGTTACATTCACTTGTTAACTTTGACATTTTAAGCCAAATATTCCTTTTTAAAAAATAAATTTAGGAAACTACGAAATGCAAAGTAAAATAAAAGAGAGCTTCCTTCTGGATTAAGGGGCACAGTACTAGGAGCCAGCCTTGGATCCTGAGGTTGTATATCCAATCCTTGCTGTACTAGAGCGACCTTGGGCAAGCTCCCGCCCCTACGGGATCTCCAAGAGCCCACTGGTTGCGGAAGAGCGGATCTCAGAACATCCCTCCATCGCAGAGCCCAGGCCAGGCCAGCAGCCCACCCCGCTGCGCTGGACTCAGCTGGGCAGCCGCCCGCGGTGCAGGCCCGGCCAATCAGCGGTCGCGGGGCGGGCGGGGCGGCGGCGCAGCGCGCGCGGAGAGAAGCGCGAAGCAGAGGCGCCAGCGCCGTCCGGGAGCGGACCATGCCGCGCTCACCCGGGCTCTTCCTTCTGCTGCTTGTGCTGCAGCCGCCGCCGGCCGCGGGCCTCGGGCTCCGCAGCGCAGGCGGACGAAACCCGCAGTGCGGTCCGTGCCGACCAGAGCGCTGCCCCGCCCCCGAGCGCTGCCCCGTGCCTGGCGTCGTGGCGCGCGACGAGTGCGGCTGCTGCGCGCGCTGCCTGGGCGCCGAGGGCGCGAGCTGCGGGGGCCGGGCCGGCGCGCGCTGCGGCCCAGGGCTCGTGTGTGCGAGCCGCGCCGCGGGGGCCGCGCCCGAGGGCACCGGGCTCTGTGTGTGCGCGCAGCGCGGCTCGGTCTGCGGCTCCGACGGCCGGTCGTACCCCAGCGTTTGCGCGCTGCGCCTGCGCGCCCGCCAGGCGCCCCGCGCGCTCCCTGGCCACCTGCACAAGGCGCGCGACGGCCCCTGCGAATTTGGTAAGTCTAGCTTCTGCCCCGCGGTCCTGGGGGGGGGGGGGTGAAAAAGAGGGACCCTGACCCTCTGGGACGTGGGGTGAAGGATCTCCTGCTGCACACCGATGGACAGCTCTGCCCAGGCCTCAGTTTCCCCTATGGGGCCAGTTTTCTCATCTGGCCAGTTACTCAAGGAGACGGGGGTGAGGGGTGTGTGGGGCGGGGCGGGGGTGGGCAGGAATCCACATCCTGTACCCTCTCTTACCAAGCCGTTGGAGTCACCAGTCACCGAGCTGGTCGTAATTTTGGGGAGCCTGCTGTCCCTTTTGGTACTTAAGTCCTTACTGATTCAGTTGTTTGCAGGTCTGGCATATTTGCCTCCTGAAGACAGAGTGTGGGAAGCAGGGTGTTCCCACTGGGTCCAGCTCCTTGGGGTCCCACCTTGGACGGGGGTGGGTTGTTTGAATGCAGAGGGAGAGCAGATGGAGATGCTGGAGGAGGAGGAGCTGGAGCTGCAGATTGGGATTCCGGAGTCTGGGGATCAGGGCACCAGGGTTCAGTGAGTGAGGAGTCCAGCCCTGCGGGGAATCTTGAGGAAGCTCTCACCCAGGACAGGTAAAACCTTGGGAGACCTAAGCTCCGAAGAGACTGGTGCCATCAGAGGCAGACCCCAGGTTTTATAAGACTGAAGTTTATAGAATTTGGAGGGTCCCACTTTAAGTAAGGGCTTCCCTGGTGGCTCAGAGGGTAAAGAATCTGCCCGCAAAGTGGGAGACTTGGGTTTGATCCCTGGGGTGGGAAGATTCCCCTGGAGAAGGGAACGGCTACCCACTCCAGTATTCTTGCCTGGAGAATCCCATGTACCATAGAGTCCCTGGGGCCGCAGAGTCAGACAACACTGAGCGACTTTCACTTTCACTTCACTTTAAGTGACGTAATAGAAAATGATTAATTGCTTGGGACCTAAAAACACAAGCTTCATTAACATCACAATAAAGCCATCTCTGGGTGCCATATTTGCTCACTTTCTACATGTAATGTTTTGAAACCAAACAGAAATAAACCAAAATATTAGTATAGGGATGCCCAGTCAAGCACCCTGCTGGGCCATTAGATTTTGGAGAAATGCCCCTTGTCTAGGTGGCCTGGAGGGGGAAGTGGAGAGTATAGGTGAGCTTGTGCCAGGGGAGCCCCAAGGAGGCCCAGCTCTGGGGTTCTGGCCTGGGACTAGAGATCCAAGAGCAGGCCTGAATGCTTCATACAGTGCGATGACTTCAGCCGCGACAAGGAAGCCTTGGGGTGGGGGTCGGCCTTTGGAAATTTCTAGTAAGTATTATCTTTCACCAAGAATCCCAGTTAGATGCCCTCAAGTCCAGGAGACCCAACGGGTTGTTGGAGATGAGGCAAGAAGGCCCCTGTCTCTGGAAACTTGGAAATAATGTGCTGCCCACTGAGGGGTCTGAGACAGCCCCAAGACCTCAGCAAGTCACTGCTGGCTGTTCCTCACTGGGGCTTCCGGTGGAGGAGAGAGCTGGCGGCTGCTCCCCTGGCTGCGGCTTTGGGCTGGTCCCTTCCAGGGGCGGTGTCAGCCCCTGGGGAGTCACTGTTGAGGCCCCTCCACTTTGAACCTACGTTTCTGCCCGTGTCTCCTTCCTTCTGCTTTCTGCCATCTATTTTTGCAATCTACTTTCCTCAGCAGTTAATTCTGCTGAGGCAAGTCTCTTTGTTTCCAGACAGGTAACATTTTCAGTCCACATGCAGGAGGCGTGAGAAATGCTGACCAGGTCTCCAGACCAACTCGCTGCTGATGCTCTCAAGCGATTCCCCCCTGGACTGGTACTCTGCTTCTGAGGGAGAGCTGCCTTGAAGGCATTCAGACCCGATCTGCTATTACACGAGACGGAGACCCTTGGGGCAGGGGTCTCATCCAGGGTGACCAGTAAGACCGGGCTGGCTTCCAGGTCCCCAGCACCCTGTTCAGCGCCGTTTCAGGGTAGGACTTGATAGTGTTAAGTCAGGCAGGTGGCGGTTGCCATGGTTACCAGAGTGTGGGCAGATGGAGGTCCCGTACCCCTAATTCTTTGAAAATTACCACATGACAAGTAAATGTGACAGCCCCTTCACTCTGATCTGTGGGCTCTGAGCCCACCCCAGGCACAGGCCCCGGGAGTAACGATGTTTATGGAGCCAAACACAAGTAATTCAGAAGCTGCTTTTAACGATCCCAGGAATGACAGGCATCAGGCCTCCCCACAATTTAGCTTTCCTTCCCTACCAGCGATTGTCATTGGCCACTCCCCAGACCCCGGCACTGTCGTCCCATCGCCTTCTGTCCTGACGTGTTTGTGCGGCCACTGCTCTTGTGCGCTGGTGGAGCAGGAAGCTGTGGACCGGGGATCTTTTCAGCTAGGGAAAATGGCACCTCATTCCATGCTGCCCTCAAGCCATCCTTTATTCAGACAACACGGTGGGAGCACTTTTTAACAATGTCCCTGGGGACCTCGCTGCTTGACGGGAAACAGATCGAGTCAGAGCAGCAGCTGTTCTGCTTCAGTATTGGCGATAAAGCAAGCCAGCACCCAACGCTAAGGGGATGAAGCCTCCGTAAATGTTAGGTTTCGCAGTGTGGGAAGTGTTCATACCCAAATACCTCTGAGGGGCATTGGGAAGTGATTTCAGGCTCAAATTCTGACCTTTCCTCCTATGCTCTGAAATGCCCCCCAAATTCGAATTATGAGAGTAATCCTGTGATCAACATACATGTACTGAAGACTCACTCAACATACATGTATTGAAGACATGTATTGAAGGTTCCAACATAAAAATAATTTTTGGCTATTGGAAATCGCTTTTGCATTCCATCTGCTTTTTTGATTTTTTTTTACAACTACCCTGGCCAGGTCTCACTCCCATTTAATAGAAGGACAAACTCAGGCCAGTAGAAGAGAGCTTCCTGGAGTCACATGACTGGTTGCCGGCCGAGATGGGGCTCCATGTCCTGACTCTTTTCAGATGGAGTCATGTATCTATAACCTGCTGGCAACTCGATCAGGAAGGTGCTGCAAACCTTTGAATCTTTAGAGTTTCTCAGCCTGAATCCACCTTCCTTTTCCCCTCCAAGGCTTGCTGCTGGGGCCTCTGTTTCAGCACCTGGTGATGGCTCTTCAGAGGATCAGGGATAGCTTTACACAAGGGGAAGCAGCTGAGTGGAGCTTGGAACATAGGTAGAAAATTCCTGGGCTGAGAAGCGGGGGCAGAGAGGCACCGCATAAACCACGGCAAGGAGGGGGGCAAGTGTGAACAGTGGACCCATAGGCAGTACCCAGTGGGCTGGTTGGCGGAGGAGATGAGACCCAGAGCTGTCTGGGGCAGGCTCGTTGCAGGACTGGCGTGCCATGCTGCAGGGTGAACCTTCATTCTGCACCGAGGGGTTGGTTCCGTTTCTCACCGGTAAGCTGTGGTGGCGTTAGTGCTTTGTTATCATTGCTTTAACAAGCTGCTTTGTCCCATGTGCCCTGGTTGTTTGCTCGCACTGGGAGGAGGCTGGGATCCTGCAGACGGCAGGTTGAGGTCGTGTTTTGAGTGCTGCATTAGATACGAATGGGGTACCATGCCAGCCAAGCCCCTGAAGCATCAGTGAGCTATTGAGAGCCTAAATCTTAGAAAATTCGCCTTGGTTGAAATTCCAGCTCCACTTAGAAATCTCAGTCTGTGCAAGGCCTGTGTTACCAGGTAACCAGGAGATGCAGCGAACACCACTTTGTGAGAGGGACAAAGAAGGGGCGCCTCGTGCTCAAAAGCCTTTCATGCCGAGGGAGGGGGCTTGAGGCGCACGCTGCAGGGAGCCGGATTAAGCTGTGTCTGGTTCCACATGTAATGCGACTATTAGCATAAATTATCAGGGCTGTTCAGGGCGCTGATTATTAAACCCTTTGGTTGTGTGCTTCTCCGTATGAGCAGATGGGTTCCTGGGAGATGACTTTTGATATTCTTTCCTTCCCAAACGCCATTAACTTGAGACAAATCTTGGAGGCATTAGGGAAGATCTTTTATTCCAGCCATCAAGGACATTCTCAGTCCACAGGGTGGGGGCACAGCTCCCCACACACTATAGTAATAATATCGACCCCTTTCATTTCTATAGATCCACAAGGTTAACAACACAGTCACATCCATTCTTTCCCTTCACCCCGGAGGATGTGGGGCCATTATCCTCATTTGCAGATAAGAACATTGTTAGCAGTTGCCCAGTGGTTGGCGGCCAGACCCCCAGGCATGTTGAGTTTCCCTTGGTAGTGTTTGGGCTTCCCGGGTGGCTCAGAGGGTAAAGAATCCACCTACAATGCAGGAAACGCAGGCAGATGCAAGTTCGAGCCCCAGTTTGGGAAGATCCCCCGGAGGAGGGCATGGCAACCCACTCCAGTATTCTTGCCTAGAGATTCCCGTGGACAGAGGAGCCCGGTGGGCTGCAGTTCGCAGGGTCGCAAAGACTCGGACACGACTCAAGCGACTGAGCACCCACGCACAGTACTGTCTTGCCCGCCCTCTGTGCTGCCTCTGAGGGTGCACGCCTGGCTGACTATTCTGTGTCCTGATGGGTGCGTTTGTGCCATCCCAGCATTTCCAGGGCCGTAGATGATGCGAGCAGAAGGAAGCAAGTGTTTGGCACGGAAGAGCTAGGGAGACAAAACCAGCAGATTCCCAGGCGGGGCTGAGCAGGCACCATCCTCGCTCCTGAAAGCCACGTGACTCTTGCCAAAGGCCGGCGGAGAGGAGAGCCCTGGCTCCTCCCGGAGGGTGGCGGCTCAGGCGGCGGTGAGGTTCGAGGCCGTACCCTGGGCTCTCCAGAGAGCGGGCTGCGGGCCACGGCCTCTGGAGCCTCCGGGGAAGGGCCCACGGATAGCCCACTCCCCAGAGGCCGGTAGAGGGTCTCAGCATCTTTGCAGACTAGCCTTGGGGTAGCAGGCCCTGTGGGGGCTGCAGGTCCCTCCGTGCATCTGGGGTTCTTGTGACTGTCCTCACAGGAGCCCATGCGGAGGGCAGCGGGGGAGAGTGGCCTCCTGGGCCCGTTTTAAAGAGGAAGCTGGAGTGTGGGCGAGACAGGACTGAGCCTGAGTTCCCAGGGTGGTCACGAGCTGCAGGGCCCTGGTGCCACACTTCAGTGAGCCCTGGGAGCAGTAAGACTGGGCGCATCCTGCCCCGATCACGGACACACCACCCACTTACTGGTGTCTTCACAAGAGCTGCTGCCTGGGGTGATGTCGGGAGCGTTTCATTTCTGTGCAGGAAAGAGTGAACGTGGCGGGCCTGAGACTGTTATCCCTTGGAAAGGCCCGCTGGGAATTTGGATGTGCAGAGGCGTGCCACCGTCTCCGGAATCGAGAAGAGCTGCTCACTGGATGTGAACTGCACAGCATGGTTTATGCTGCACGCCTGCTTTCCTTCCGGGAGTCTGGAGTTCTGGTTTGTAGCAGGCAGAGGGTGCCTGGGGGACCGGCTCCCAGGAAAAGCCGTCAGCACTGAGATCTAGTGAGCCCCCTTGGTAGAGGCCGTCGTACGTGTTGTCACAGGCTGTGCTGGAGAATTAGGTGCCTCATCCTCTGTGACTCCACTGGGAGAGGCTCCTGGTTTCCTGGGTCTTTGCTCCGTGAGTCTCTTTTCCCTCTGCAGGTTTGCTGGGTGTCCTCTGTTGTAATAAATCCCACTGTGAATAAACTCTGCCCAGTCCTGTGAGTCCTTGTAGCAAGTCGTTGATCCTGGGACTTGTCTTGGTGGCCCCCGACACAATACCTTAGGAACTCATTCTGGGATGAAGTCCGTACGGCTAACACATGTTTCACCTTTAAAAATCATGTGGGATCAATGGAATCAGAGTGCCTAGGTTTGCATCCTTGCTCCCCCAGGTGCTTCCTCTTTCTGAGCCTTGGATTTCTTATCTGTTAAGTGGGGCTGAAAGCACCTACTTCCCACGCCTGGTGTGAAGATGAGAGGGTGTTGGACATGGAAGTGTCATCTCAGGAGAAGGCAGGATGTTATGGGACGGAGCCCCCGGGCTCACAGTCTCACCCTGCTATGTGAGGCTGGGTAACCCTGGCTAGCTTCCTCAGATGGCAGCTGGGGAGATTGCTGGAAGGATCAAATGGCTTAACCCAGTAAGCAGAAGGGTGGCATTATTACTGTCATGATGGGATTCCCAGGTGGCTCAGTCTTAAAGAATTCTCCTGCAATGCAGGAGACACAGTTTCGATCCCTGGGTTGTGAAGATCCCCTGGAGCAGGAAACGGCAACCCACTCCAGTATTCTTGCCAGGAAAATCCCATGGACAGAGGAGCCTGGTGGGCTACAATCATGGGGTCACAAAGAGCTGGCAACAACTGCATACACACACACACTATCATGATAATGATGGATGATTTTAAAGAGCTACTATAGATAAAAACTTCTAAATTTAAAATCAGATATGTTTAAATTAAAACTCGGTTAAGCTACAGGAGGAAATTTTTTGAAATAACTGAACACTGCTATATCTTGAGTTATGGTAATGTTACACGGTGTATGCATTTGTCAAAACTTAGAAATGTACACTAGAAAGAATGAATGTACTGTGTATACATTTAAAAATAAATCAAAGCCTGAATGTCACTTTATTGCCAAAAGCAGTGGGCTCTTTTGGAAAAGAAATGCTATTTTCTGGCTTGAAACTAGTGGCAAAGGCAGTATTTCCAAGACGGTCTTTAACTGTAGTTATGGAAAAACAGGGAAATGCAAGGAGAGAGAGAGATGAAATGTGATTTACTGGCTTATTCATTTAGGCTTGAAAGGGACTGATGAAATCTCATTTAAAATTTATGGCTCTACATAAACGGAAGTAAAACATGTTGATTGAGTGTCCCTTTGGAATCTATTGAGGGCTTTAGAATAAGATGCAGTTCTGATTGTTCCCACAGCGAGCCATTTGAGGACTGGTTTGGGCTCCGGGGGAGGCGATGCTGGCAGGAGGATGTGAATAAATTAGACTCTCTTTGTTGTCCATTGCAGATGGGGCTCTGCCATAGAGCAGGGGTGCTGTGGTTCTTCGTGGTGGTTGGAAGGTGGCTGGGGCATGTCGGGTGATGTTAGAAGCCTGGAACCTTGGTTTATTCGGGGGACTGGCTACACTTGGGGCTGTGGGTAGAGGTGTGGTGCTTAGAGAGCATTCAGTTGGTCACAGCTGAAGGAGTGAGCTGATCAGGCTGTGGGGGTAGAAAGCAGCCTGGGGTGAGGAGAGCAGGGTTTGTATTCATCTTACTGAAGGCCACTTAAGGTGACCAGGGCTCTATAGGGCTCCTGGCAGCCCTGGGATCAGTAGGCGGGAGTTACAGGATGCAGGTCTTAACTCCAGGTGAGGACAACCTTTCTTACCAGAAGAGTCAAGGATGGAAGGGGCTGGCTTTATCAGTAGTGAGCTCTCCATCACTGGGGGCATGCAAGTGGAGGCTAGATGAGTCCATCACAGACCATCAGGCACATGCTTTGGGGAGTTGGGCCTCTCCAGTTTGAAACAAGAAGCTCTAAGACAATTTCCCAGAGATCTCTTGGCATCAGTTTGACAGGGTCTGCTTCCTAGTCTGTCTAGAGAGTCCAGACCTGTCTCCTTTCTGCGCCCTTTCGTTCTTTCCCTCCGTGCTCTTCATCCAGCCTTCTGTCTGTCTCCCTTTGTTCTCCTTTTTAACTGCAGCCTCACCTCGGCTGGCAAAGGCCCTTTCCTTCTCCAAGGCTGGCCTGTGGAGGGCAGAGGGCATGCCCATGAGTCACCAGGAAAAGTGCCAAGAGTCGTGGATGCTGCAGTTTGACACCCAGGGATGAATGTGTTTACTCTCTTATTCGTCGTGTGTTTCTTTGCGGAGTCATCGGTTTGACAGGCCTGCCCTGCCCCGCATTTGCACGCTGTGTCACCTTAAACCCTCACTTTCAGACTCAGCACGTCCTAAAATCAGCTCAGCAGCCCTGTGACACAGGGGGTATTATCCTCATCTCAGAAAGGCCCCTGGAGGGGGCATGGGAACCCACTCCAGTGTCCTTCCCTGGAGAATCCCATGGGCAGGGAAGCCTGGCGGGCTACAGTCCATAATATTGCAGAGTCGGACGCAACTGAAGCGACTTAGCACACATGCATCCCCGTCTTACAGACAGCAGACCTGAGCAGAGAGCGTTCTCTTGGCCCGGCCTCCACACCGCACCTCCCTAAGACCACACGGGCCTCAGCTGGAGCACCTGCACTGTGAGGCAGGCTGGGATTCAGCGGGTCAAAGTGGGGCAGATCCCTGGTACTGGGCTAGGACACACCCCCAGGCCCTCAGGATGGGCAGCTGCGGTGCATCCCGAATAGAGGATAGGCAGGCAGGGTGGGCGAGTGTGCTGAGGGCCAGGTGGAGGGGCTGAAGCCCAAGGCAGCTGGGCTTAATTCTTTCAGGCCCAGAGTAAGCAGAGTGGGGGCTGGCCACCGGGAGAAGGACAAACAAGCGTGGAGTGTCAGCTAGGAACATCTAACTCAGGACTCCCCTCGTGGTCCAGTGACTCTCCCAATGCGGGGTGCTGGGGGTTTGATCCCTCTTCAGGGAACTGATCCCACATGCCGCAGCTGAAGATCCAGTGCCACAACTAAGACCTGAATAAATGATGAAATAAGTATTTAAAAAAGAATGTCTAACTCAAATGCCACGTGCTTCCCCATCCCACCCGGCAAGCCCACACCCTCTGTCTTTTCTGTGAAGTAGGTCCTGGCAGCCTAGCACCACGTTGCCCAATTCCCTGATTTACTTTTCTCTGGCAGCAGGGAGGCTCAGCATCCATACCAGCAGTTTTGCCCTTGAGGATGGGGATGGGGAGGGTGGTGGAGCCTGCGGTATGCAAATGAGCATCTTGAACTGCAGGGGGTCTCAGCAGGCGGTGAGGGCAGCTGGGCTTTGTGGCATTATTCTCTGAACGCCCTCCAAGCAGAAGGAGAAAAGCCCATCTGTTAGAAGAAGACAGCAGCCCCTCCCAGAGCCTGCCACCCTGCCGAGTAGCTGAGCTGTAAGCAGATGGCAGCTGGGGTCCTGGGAGGGGCCCTGGGAGGGAGTGTGACAGACAGACGTCGTCTTTCCTCTCTGGATCCCTGTTTTCCTGTTGGTAGAACGGAGGCAGTGAAGGAGGAGAAGAAGGCATCCTTTCAGGTCTCAGGAGAACTCCCTTCTAGGATTCCTTGCCTCTGAGTGTAGCCTTTCCGTGTGGGGAGGTCTCACCTGCCCCAACCTGCTATGTGCAGGCAGGGGATCTAGAGGTGAAGGGCTTGGCCAGGGTCAAGCCTGTCTTCCCTTGTCTTTTTCTCCCAGCTCCTGTGGTCATCACCCCACCCCAGAGTGTTCACAATGTCACCGGGGCACAGGTGTACCTGTCCTGTGAGGTGAGGGCTGTGCCCACCCCAGTTGTCACGTGGAGGAAGGTATTTATATCCAAGAACTTCTCTGCCTGTGTGTGTGTGTGTGTGTGTGTGTCTGGCTGGGGGAAGGTATAAATGTTTTTAAGTGTGTGTGTATTTATCTCTTATGTGAATTGAAGGATTACAAAAAATATGTTTCGTTCCTCTGCCTCCAGATTTATGATTCAAAACTTTTACCCCACAGCTCTCCCCAGAGAAGGGGTGTGGCTGTTTGCCACTCAGCTGTCCAGGAAGTTCTGCTGCTTATCTAGCCTGTGTCAGCTGAGATGCAGTTACAGCCTCCTGGGCTGGGGCTGGGTTTCAGAAAGACTTGGCTGGTGGAAGATGACCCGGCCCTATCCTAAAGCTAGATCTTCCTGCCGCTCGGGTTTTGAGCGGTGGAGATGGGTACAGCCTGTGTTCCCTTACGTCAGCAGCCCTGAGAAGGGCCGGGGAATCCTGGCGCTGGTGATGTCTGTATCTCAGCTGTCTAGCAGGGGCTGCTCTCTGCTCAGGCTTAAGAAGAAACTGATGTTTCGTGGGAATGAGATACTAGGGTCTCAGCCTTAAGTCGGCGCGAAGGTGAAGACAGCGAGGGTGTCTGTGGGGTCGTCCTTATTCAGAAATGATCTTTCCAAGTCACGCCTGGTTATTCTGTCTTCTGTAGGTCACACGGTCTCCTGCAGGCACCCAGGCAACGGAGGACCTGCCTGGGGACCATGTCAACATAGCCGTCCATGTCCGAGGGGGCCCTTCTGACCACGAGGCCACCGCCTGGGTTTTGGTGAGCATTTCATTTGTTGATACTCATGGGCTTCCCTGACAGCTCAGCTGGTAGAGAATCCGCCTGCAATGCCGGAGACCCTGGTGCAATTCCTGGGTCACGAAGATCTGCTGGAGAAGGGGCAGGCTACCCACTCCAATGTTCTTGGGCTTCCCTGTGGCTCACCTGGTAAAGAATCTGCCTGCAATGTGTGAGACCTGGGCTCGATCCCTGGGTTGGGAAGATCCCCTGGCGAAGGGAAAGGCTACCCACTCCAGTATTCTGGCCTGGAGAATTCCATGGACTCTATAGTCCACAGGGTCACAAAGAGTCAGACACCACTGAGTGACTCTCACTTCACTGGCTCTTATAAAGCACCTTTTATATTTCTGTGACATGTCACCCCTTTCAGATGTTCTTGTCCATTTCTGCCTGGGCTCTACGGTAACTGTGAGGAAAGCAGGGCAGGTAGTATAATGCCTGAGAGCAGAAGGGGTCCCACTGCTAGGCGGAACATGGCCTCAGAAAGATGTCGACATCCTAATCCCTGGAACTGGTGGATATGTTATATGGCAAGAGGGGAATAAGGTTGCAGATGGAATTAAGATTATTAATCAACTGACTTTAATAAAGTTATCCTGAGCTATCTGGGTGGGCCTGATACAATCACAGGAGTCTTTTAAATGTAAAAAAGAGAGGCAGGAGAGAGAGCCAGAGATGGCAGTGTCAGAAGACCTGAACTACCATTGCTGGATCCGCGGATGCAGGAAGGACTCACAGGCTGAGGACTGCAGGCAGCCTCTGGAATGCTTCTCTCAGGGCCTCTGGAAACAAGGCAACCCTGCTGATACCTTGACTTTAGCCCACTGAGACCCACTTGGACGTCTGACTTCAAGACGTGTACATAGTAAATCTGTGTTGTCTTAAGCCAGTAAGCATGTGGTCATTTGTAACAGAGCCATAGAAAACTAATACACTTGACTAAGACCACACGGCTGATAAAGGAGTAGCAAGGGCGGGGGGACGGGGGGTGGCGTGTGGACAGCACCTTCCCGTCCTCCAGGGCGGTTCTGTGCCATGTGCAGCGATGTGGCTGAGAAGAGGGAATGCCCTGTGTTTGAAAGGGCGATGGAGTAATGGGATACGGGTCACTCTCCCTCTCTGAGCTCCGGTGTCCACAGCCGTAAAAAGGGGGCTTTGGACTGGACCATGTCTGGTGACCCTAACAGTCTGCGACTTACTGGTGAGTCTCCTGTAATGTGAGGATAACGATGCTCCCCTTCAGCCATGATGCGGTCAAAATGAGACAGGGCGCATCAACCCTCCCCGGTCTGTAGTGACTCACAGTTGAGAGGTGCTGTTTTGCTGCGAGAAAGCAGAAAAGGAGGGCGCTGCCGTGGATCCGCTCTGCAGGGCTGTGTGATGGGTGCTGCCGTGGATCTGCTCTGCAGGGCTGTGAGATGGGCGCTGCCATGGATCTGCTCTGCAGGGCTGTGGGATGGGCTCTCCAGTGCGCCCTTCGGATTCAGTCCCCATCTTTGCCAGGTCTGGCAACTTCTCCACCCAGCTCGTAGGCTCAGGATGCACCTGGGTCTGTGACTTTTTCAAATCTAACATACTGCCTCGCTTTGTTACAAGGAGAGGCAGAGGAGAGGTTATCTCTGGTATTGTTTTGTAAAGCTGCCTCCATTAGGAGCACTTTCGGCCTTCCACGGTCAGTGTTGTTTTGCTCTTTTAAATTTGCAGTGTTTTCCTTTAAGGGACTTCCCAGGTAGCTCAGTGGTAAAGACTCTCCCTGTCAATGCAGGAGACGCTGAAGCCGCAGGTTCGATCCCTAGGTCTGGATGATCCCCTGGAGGAGGAAATGGCAACCCACTCCAGTGTTCTTGCCTAGAGAATCCCATGGACAGAGGAGCCTGGCGGGCTACAGTCTATGGGGTCACAAGTCAGACACGACTGAGTGCACATGTATTTTCATTAGAATCTATACCTGTCACCTTCAATAAAAGGATCAGGTTGCTGTCAGTAAAAGGCAGGATGCAGGAAACATTAAAATGAGAGCCAGGATACAGAGGGTACTGAGAAGGAAGTTTAACTCTGTCTCAGCAGCCAAGACAAGAAGAGAAATAAGAGGGTGAACTCTGTCTTACTCCAAAAAGCTGCACGCGTTCAGGATCGTTATGAACTAGGCAAGTGATTTTGCTGTGTCGTGGATGACTGTGTAAACTCGCCTGTTTAACTTCTAGATCAGCCCTCTGAGGAAGGAAGACGAGGGGCTCTACCAGTGCCACTCAGCCAACGCGCTCGGGGAGGCCCAGTCCCATGGCACCGTGACCGTGGTCGATCGGAGTCAGCACAGAGCACCCCGCTTCCCAGCTCCAGACGACCGCCTGTGACGGGGCATGTGCGTGTTTCACGTCGTCTGAGCTTGTACACCTCTGTCACAAGAGGCTGAGATGAGTTATAAGATGCATAATAAATGAGAAGGAAAATACTGAATTGAGGGAAACAGAGGAACGGAAACCAAGAGCAGAACATATTATAGTTGGCAGCTAGACTGGTGTGTCCTACACACATATCACACTGGGCTTCCCACTGGCGTGCCAAGTCAAGAGCTATGAACGTTAGGGGTGTCCAGGTGAAAGAGACCACTAATTTTTTTTTTTTTCTGTTTCGGAGGCTGAATGGAACATTTCCTCCAAATCAGCCCGGTGAGGGTGCTGAGAGAGCAGGCATGGTCCCTGTGACGGTACCCATGTGAAAACACGCACAAAGGAGACAGTCTGAGCTTCATGGGTCTGTCCCCTTACGTGTAGCTCTGCAAGTAGGTACAGCTTCTAGAAACAGGGAAGAAAAATGCAAGGTGTAAAACCGTCAAACAGAAACTCAGGAGATGGCTCTTAAAGTCGCCCTCCGGATACTTTTACTTTTTTATATATGTGTATTGTTATGTATATGACTCAGCGGTAAGGAATCTGCCTACCAATGCAGGAGGTGCAGGTTGATCCCTGGGTCAGAAAGATCCCCTGGAGAGTGCAATGGCAACCCACTCCAATATTCTTGCCTGGGAAATCCCGTGGACAGAGGAGCCTGGTGGGGGTTGCAGGCTGGAGTCTGTGGGGGTCGCAGAGTTGGATAAGACTTAGTGACTAAACAGCAACAACAACAACTAGAAACATGTGTATCAGAAAGTCAGGTATCAGGATTTTTTTCCCCATATTTCCTATAACTTTTTCCGGCTCTTGCTTGCATAACTCCGGAGACACAGCTCTGTACCACCAAAAAAACCATCTGTGGGTTTTTCCAGTAACTGAAAGTTCTTCCTCGTATTACGCTGGAATCTGCCTCTCTGAAATGCCCACCCATAGGTCTTATATGTAATTCTGGGATCCCCACAGGCACCTCTGCTCCCACCAGCACCTCTCCTGGTTGGGGAGAGATTTAACGTTAGGGTCATTACCCCCACCTTCCATCTAACACGTAGTTGACTATGACAGAACAGGCTTCTTTTCTCTAATTTTTTTTCCCCTCTTTTCTTCTAGGATCTTAGAAACTTGATCACAGGATGACGGAAAAGTCAAGTCATGGACCATTTCACTTTGTGAAGAATTAGAAAAACTGTTTGTAGATGACCCCTTTTGTATGTTTTTAAACGTTAGATGCAAACTAGATTCGTATGCAGATGTAGTTTTTAGCAGGGCAAACAAGCGTTGGGGAAACAGACGGCATGGAGCCTTTTTATACTTTTGAAATGAACAGCTCTGTGAGAATTCTTTTTTAGCTTCTCCCTCCAAGGGAAAGCCGCATGTAAGTCCATGTAATTCTACAGGGCTGGACCGAAGTGTGTGTCAGCTGTGACCGCCTCATTTGTCTGTGGTTGATTAGTGGAGCTCTGTGACAGACAGCGTGTGTTTTAGGAGGAGGGGGAGCGTCTTGCTGTCCTCTGCCTGACCTCTAACTTGCTGTGTGATCTGGATAGATCCCTCCCTCTGTGGGCCTTGGTCTCTGCAGCTGTGAATGTGCTATTTGGACTGTATGTAACCTATGTCCTTTCAAACACTGCCATCCTGGAGTAGGAAGGTCCTACAGAAAAAATATGAGAAGTCTAGTCTTAGCCTTCTTTTACAAATAATATTCCCTCAAAGACAAATGCACTGCTTCACATGAGGGTGTGGAGAGCTGGCTATAACTTAGCTATTCCTGCTGTTTTCCCATTTTAAAGAGGTTTAGTCCAGATGGAACACTTAACCAGTCTCAGAGGCTGGGTACACGGGGACTAAGATATCCACTTATTGACAAGCCCAGCATTCTCTAACCAAGCAGACAGTGGGAACCTGGCTATTGGACATCAGATTGTAAAAAAAGGAGTCAACTGCTGTCTCTGGGCTGTAGAATTAGAGTTAGCAGAGTATATTTTACTTAGAGATGTTCTGAGGTCACCCAGAAACAAAACTTGCTTGCTTTTTTCTTAAGAAAGAAAGACGAAGAGTATTTAATATCTGGCTAAAGAAATAGATCCCCTGGGTGACGAGTAAAATACTTTAAAATCAAAATTGGATCTCACATGTGGCTAGTTGTTAAATTTCATAAAACACTTCTCTGTGGTCACTTCCCATCTCTGGGATGGCAGGTAGGATGCTCATTAATGTCCCTCCCCCGTTACAGATGGAGAAACCCAGCTCTGAGAGTACCATGCTTGCCTGAGGTCTGAAAGCCTCTGAGAGGGACTGGAGCTGAGGGCGCCTGGCCCTCTTTGGCACCCTTTCCACTCCATGGTGCTCCTTCTCAGAACAATTTGTAACTGTAGGAAGGAAGATGCCGCCCGTTCCACGGGTTTCAGGGATTCTCCTCAAGGTCTGTCTCAACTTTTAAACCAACACTCTCATGACGCTCACTTTGAGCACTGCATTTTGGAATCTTTTTGAGATTGCATTTTGTTCCTTTAAAGCCTGGCTATTCCACATCTGAAATGTTGGGGGGGCATCACCCTAACATACACAGCAGGGGACTGTCCTGGGACTCCAGAAACATGAGGTCCATTTGGGAATGCGTCCCTATCTTGCTGGGTGACCCTGAGCAAGACCCCTTCACTTTCTGGACCTTGGTTTCCTCATGTGAATAAGAAGGGAGTGAAACTAGGCCAGTGGTTTTCAAACTTTAAAACATTGGGACCCCGTCTTTGAATAAAGTCAGCACTGAAACTGATCACAAATGGGAAGCTGTGCCTGTCTGTTGGAGGCTGGGCCTTCTAGGGGACCGGCTCACGTCCCCTCCCTACGCAGCACGCCACACCGCCCCCCGTGACAGTGACTCTGAGTCCAAGTCGGTGGTAAATTCCTCTGGGGTCTGAGTGATTGGGAGATGGCTTGGGAAGACACTTAGTGAAACTATGTCAGAGGAAAAGGGGACTGTGGCTGTGGAGAACAGCATCATGCATTTGCTGATAAGCACGTTCAGCAAAATTGGTTCAACTTTGCCCGGTGAGAGCTGGATGTGGACCCAGAGAGCAGGCCGGATGGAGCCCTGGGGTGACAGGCCCGAGCATCAAGGCTGCAGGAGGCTGGGTTCAGCATTGCAATGATGTACAAAAAGTAATGATGTTACACTGTGAAGTCTCCACCAAAACCAAAAGCATAGTATAAGACTGTTCCTACCTAATCACTTTTCCACGGTGAGAGCCTAGGACCTCTCGGAGGCTAAACATATGCGTGCCGTGAGTTGCCGTTCAGAAACAGGACTCCCTCGGAGCCTTCGTGTTCTACCCTATTTTGATACATGTGATGATGTCCCATAACCCCCGCACTCCAAAAATGACTGTTTTCAGGGACAGGCTTTGTGGGCTGTGTGCTTGGAACTGCTATAGGTGGGTCCATGTCCCACTGATACTTCTCCATCATTCCTTATGTATCATACCCTTTTTTATTTTCTGCTTTCCCACATCAGCTGCTTTCATCAGAATCCTCCTTACCTTTCACATCTGGGCTGTGGTTACAGTCCTGCCTGGTCATCTTGCTTGCAATTCTTAACAAGCCCTAACTAATCATCCACTGCCAGACCGAACTTTCTCGCTGCCTCTGAACTGGTGTCTCCCACTGAATAAGGCTCAGATGGTAAAGAATCTGCCTGCAATGTGGGAGACCCAGGTTCAATCCCTGGATTGGGAAGATCCCCTGGAGAAGGGAATGGCAACACACTCCACTATTCTTGCCTGGAGAATTTCATGGACAGAAGAGCCTGACAGGCTACAGTCCGTGGGATTGCAAAGAGTCAGACACAGCTGAGCTACTAGCACTTTCACTTTTCACTGTTTAACTCATTCACTTAGGTTTGCCTTCTGTTACCTCCCACATGCACACAGAATAGCGTTCTCCAGAGAACAGAAGAGTGCAAACGCTGGCAATATGAAGGTGTGCGACCTGGGCCTTGCATTCAGGTGAGACCCAAGTGGGGATGAGTGGGACAAGGCTGCCATCCTGCCTCACAGCACAAGGTGTCTGCTTTCTGATCAACATAGGGGGACATCAAGGAACGCTTCCTGGAAGAGGTGCCTTCTGAGCTTGAAGTGAGTGTGGAAGACTCCAGGCTAGGCAAGGAGCACACAAAAGGAAGGGGGTGGAGAAGGGCAATGGAGTTTGTGCGTGGGGAACAGTGACCAGCGCTGGCTGAGAGCTCGAGTGGCAGGTAGGTTTTTGGCCACGTCCCTAAGTGTCATCAGAAGAGGTTGGAATTATGCTGTAAGAAGTGGGCCTGAATCTCAGTCTTCTGTTATCAGCTGGGTTATAACTGGGCTTGAGGAAGATCTCAAAAAGCTAGTGTTCAATCCCAAAGGTACTGACTTTCCATCTTAAACAAAAAAAGGTGGTTTTATTTTTTAACTCAAAATGAATTTTTTTCTTCAAGTTTTAGGGTGAAACGAATCCTGTCTTTAAAAAATTGCCTTCCCCTCTCCCCTAGAGATGCATGATGCAAAAAAATTAATAAGAGTGAGCAAATCAGTTGACAGTGAACAGTCTCCCTCTAATGAATTTCCTCATCCCCAGCCTTCACCAGAGCCCCTTGAACATTAAATCAGAGAATCATTATTATATGATATTTTATTTAATTAAGGGAAATGAAAGTGCCCTGGTGTCTGCAGCTGAACAATGAATTCAGAACTGAATACACTTGCCCAGTCTCACCTCAAGCCAACACCTCTCTCCTGGGGCATGAATGCCTCTGCAGTCGGGGCTGCCTCTGAGTTCAGCCTTGACGGTGCCTGTGTCTCCTTTCATTGTGGCTGTCTCTTCCTTATCCTAATCTCCCCCATGATACTAGGGAATGGCTGGATGTCGGGCGGGAGAGTAAAAATCATTAGTGTCAATACTCGGGAGTGGGGTGGGGGTGCGGAACAGAAGCC